AAGAAAATGTTCTTTTATTTTTATCACTCCCCTGTAAGACAAACCATTAAACATACATCACATATAAAAATAAACACAGCCCTGGCCAGGTGGCTCAATTGGTTGGATCATTGTCCAGTACACCAAAAAGTTGTGGGTTCAATTTCTGGTCAGGGCACATACCTAGGTTGTTGGTTAGATTCCCCAGTTGGGTCAAGTATGAAAAGCAACTGATCGATGTTTCTCTCTCCCCCTCCCCTCTAAATATATTCTTGGGTGAGGATTTAAAAAACCCCACACAAAATGGATTAAAAATTTAGATGTAAGAACCTGAAGCTATAGCACTTCTAGAAGAAAACATAGGGAAGAGCTTCAAAATATTGGTCTAGGCATTGATTTTTTGGATATGACACCAAAAGCACAAGCAACAAAAGCAAAAACAGGCAAATGGAACTACATCAAACTAAAGAATTCTGCACGGCAAAATAAATGATCAATGGAGTGAATATGCAACATACAGAATGGGAGAAAATATGTGCAAACTATACATAACTGATAAGGGGCTCATCGCCAAAATATATACAGAAATCCTACAACTTAATAGCAAAAACCAAATAACCCAATTAGAAAATGGGCAAAGGACTTAAATAGACATTTCTCCAAAGAAGACATCCAAATGTCCAGCAGGTATGTGATTCAATATCATGAATCACCAGGGAAATATAAATCAAAACCACAATGAGATATCACCTCACATCTATCAGAATGGCTATTATGAAAAAACAAACAAAAACAAAAACTAAACAAAACCCCCAAAGGTAACACGTATTGGCAAGGTTGTGGAGAAATTATTAATCCTTATATACTGTTGGTGGGAATGTAAAATAGTGTAGCCACTATGGAAAACAGTACAAAAGTGTCTCCAAAAATACAACCAGAATGACTATATCATCCAGCAATACCACTTCTGGGCATTTATCCAAAAGAACTGAAACCAGGATCTTGAAAAGATATCTGCGCTCCCATGTTCACTGCAGCATTATTCGCAATAGCCAAGATATGAAAACAACCTAAATGTCCATTGACAGATGAATGGACAAAAAATGTGGTATATACATACAATGGAATATTATTCAGCCTTTGAAAAGAAGGAAATTCTGTGCTATTCAACAACATGGATGAACCCAAAGGACATTATGCTAAATGAAATACCCTGGTCACGCCCAGGCAGAGTGACTTTGTAGCCTAAGCTTTTTACCAACCCTGAAAGGACATCATAGGTTTGTCTGCTCAGTGTTTCATGGCTGGCTAATTACCCATATCCTCCTGAAGTAAAAAATGAAAATGCCTTTGAAATCAGTCCTTCCTTCAGATATCAGCCATTTAACAGCCCCTTACCATTTCTTCCTGGATAGAGATAGATACAGAAAGGTCAGTCTTGCATGATCCATCCTACCTAGTTACTAAATGGTTACTCCATAGCAAACTTAAAGATTCGGGTATTTGTGATGTAATTGATACCATGTGGGTCCCAAATGGAACTTTTAGGGGGAAAAAGGTTTTGCTGGAGACAAATGGAATCATCTACTATAAAATCTGCTACTAACTTGATTTCCTGTGAAGTTAAATATAGTCAAACAATTGCAGACATGATATGATCCATAGGTAAAGGCATAGTTTTGACTCCAATGCTTCTCACTAGAGTTGTGGAGGGTCACTAGCCACAGAGAACTGAATCAACCCCAAGGTTCAATTTCCTCCTTCATTCTACTTCTTTGCCCTCTGAACTTCTGTCCACATTTATATGTTTTGCCATTTTCCTACCTGTGTATGTTCAGTAGTGTTAGAAATGATTCTGGGGATTTGTGTGTGAACTGTCTACCTTTCTACACATTGAGATGGTTTGTTTCCTATCTTTAAGAAAGCCTTTAAGATATAATAGCTCCACCATGCCTTAGCACTGTGGCTTCTGCCACTTACAATTTCTGTGTGCCTCAGTTCCCTCAAATATAAAACGAATTTAAATTTTAAGTACTCACTTAGTAGGGCTGTTGTGAGGAGGATTCAATATGTAAATACACAGAAAGGGCTTGGCATAGTGCCTGATACAGAGTAAGCAGTAAATGCATGTTAGCTGCTGTTATTTATGTTACTATTAAGTTGTGGAGGGACTGACTTCCTCACAAAGTGTCACCGAGGTTTCATCTAAGAAACAAAATCAATATTTAGAGACTTTGGATTGGTATGGAAGATCTGAGATTTTTAAAATTTAAGTCTCATAGTTAATAATAGCTAACATATATTGTACCAGGTATTACATACCAGCTATAAACTATGTACATTATATAACCTCAATCTGTACTATAACTCTGCAAGTAACTAAAATGTACTCTAGAGAAATTAAGTAATTTGCCTAAAATCTCTATTTAGTAGGAATTCAGCATGAATTTATATCCTGGTCCATCAAATATGTCTCTCATATGCTCAATTTAACTAAGCAATAATGTCTCTAATGCCTCTTATACTTTAATAGCTATTATTTCCCAAAGTTTTTCCCTATGCCATGACCATTAAAATAAGAAGTTGTGCCCAGCCAGGCGTTCCTCAGCGGTTGAGCATCAACCTAGGATCCAGGAGATCACGGTTGGATTCTCAATCAGGGCACATGCCCAGGTTGCAGGCTCGATCCCCAGCAGGGGGTGTGCAGGAGGCAGCCGATCAATGACTCTCATCATTGATGTTTCTGTCTCCCTCTCCCTTTCCCTTCCTCTCTCTGAAATCAATAAAGACATCTATAAATAAATAAATAAATAAATAAATAAATAAATAAATAAATAAATAAATAAAATAAGAAGTTGCTCATTGTGCCATGTACCATGAGAGGTTATCCACTGGTTTCCGCATTCTTTATTTAATGAATCAATAAAATAAAATACATGGGGACTTAACACAAGGCTGTTTCTCAATTTTTCCTTTAAATTGAATACATTCAGTTTTAGGGAGAAAAATCAGTATATTGCTGTTGATTTTTTTCTCTTGCTAAGAATTGATAAAATGTCATCATATATCAAATAAGTCAAATAATTGCCCCAGGAAGTAGAATTTGAGATTCTTGACTCCTTGGCCAAATTTTTTATAACATTTTAAAAATTAATATATACTTCCGATAACATAAAATTCACCATTTTGAGGTGTACATGTCAGCGGTGTTCTGTATATTCCTAGCGTGTTGCAACCATCATCACTATCTGCCAATACTGTCCTCAATCATCATCACTACCAATATCAGAATATTTTTATCACCTCACAAAGAAACCCCAGATCTATTAGAGTTAGTCCCATCTCCTGCCAGCCATTAATCTTTCTGTCTCTACAAACTTGTCCTTGGGCGAATCTTTTATTTCTGCACAAAACGGCTGCTCAGATATATGATTTGTTTTTCATCCTTTGATGTCGAAATCAAACTGCCTGTCCCAAGCTTCAATTTGGTGTGTGGTTCCCAGTGGTATATGTAATATGTATAATAGAAGGCATGATAGAGTATGAAACTCTAAGAGAGCGCATCAAGATTAGCAAATGCTTGCCATACAAATGGACTTTAATGTGAAGAAATATACTTCATACTTTCCACATTTCTAGTGTCTACATTCACTTCCAATTTTAGATTTTCCTCATATTTTCTTTTCTTTCATTACTTTGGTACTTATTTATGTAACATACCAAATTACATATACTTAGAACTTAATATGAAGACTGCTAATGTTTTCAGTAATCAAATCAAGGTAGTATTATAAAGGGTCATCTTATTTTTTAAAAAGTTACATCTAATTGTAGGTTTCCAAATTCTAGTCCAAATGTGTGCTCTATTCAGTTGTTCCATTCTCTGTATACTCATACACTCTGTTCACTTCTTAGATAATATTATTTCAAAATAGAGATTCAAATGTATGATTGTGTCACTGTGATCAATCTGTTTACATGTCTCTTCGTGGACTATGAGCTCCTTGACAGGACCTTGTTTACATGTTTGACTTTCCCCACAGTGGTACATGGTATAAACTATTGTTGAAGGAATGGCATTTAAACATACAAACAAACACGTGTAACAAAATTTACAATTATCAATTTACATTTAATTATATTACACAATATTCAACTATAATATTACATATACATATGATGTATACTTTTATATAGTTCACAACTACAGTCCGAATATTATTAAAAAAATTCAAAATGATATATTTTGAACATCATAAAATATTACCTATATCGAGTTTTATGCAGCATTTTTTTTTCTTTCTTCTTCTTTTTTTAATCCCCACCCGAGGATATTTCTTCCATTGCTTTTCAGAGAAAGGAAGAGAGAGCGAGAGAGAAACAAGATGTGAGAGAGACACATTGATGGGTTACCTCCCACATGCGCCCTGCAACCGAGGTCCATGTCCTCCGCCAGAATCGAGCCCAGAGCCTCTCAGTCCAAGGGCCAAACTGGCCAGGGCCGTAGCAGTATTTTATAATAACCTGCAATTACCCACACACTCTGTTTAATAGGGCATTCGTCACAGTAAAACTGTAAGACGGAGGAACACTGATTGGAAAAGTTTGGACAATAAAGTCAGGGGAACAAATCTGCATTTATATTGTCTAGCACTACCTGAGTGACTTTGGCTATTTCTAAATCTGAATTTTTTGTGATATGCATCTATTTAATACCATGCTTAGGGAACTGGTGTAAGGATGGAGCTAATGATGTATGCTAAGGGCCTGGCATTTATCAGGCCATTCATGAATCCTGGCGGGTACCTGATTCCTCTGGTTTTATTTTTTTCTACACATTATGAGTCTTTTCCGGTCAAAGAAACCTACTCTGATATCCAGTTTGTCAATTCCGAGACTTTACACCGCAGAGGCACAACATAACCAACCTTTCTAACTCTGAACGACTGCTAAACCCGCAGGAAGCTCGGGGCGGACCTCCAGTATCCCAGCATCCCTCGCGCCGCTCGCGCTGCTCTTCTCCCGCGTCTCTATGGTACAGCGCCCTCGGAGGCGGCCGCGGCGGTGGCGGTTGTGTTGAGGGAGAGTGGCACCAACTTTCCTGCTGGCCTGAGAGAATTTGGAGGCGGAGGGTCGCGATGTCAGAGAAAAAGCAGCCGGTAGACTTGGGTCTCCTGGAGGAGGACGACGAGTTCGAGGAGTTCCCTGCGGAAGGTAAGCGGCTGGGCTCGGCCTCCGGGCCGCGTGGACGGTGACTCAGGCCTCGGGTTGGAGGAGCCCGGCAGCAGGGGCCGGGCCCAGCGGCGCCTCCGGGGAGTGTGGACCCCGCGGCGGGCTCTGGACCCTCGACCAGGGCGACCCTCCTTCTATCTGGCTTCGGGCTCGGAGTGTCGCGGTGGATCTCACCCCGGAGGCTGAATGTCTTCTGCTTCCTCATTGGGAGGAGCCTGGGTGACCCTGGGCCCCTCCTCGGGTGTCCGGGATGGTTGGTCCTTTCACTCTTCAGCTGGGTTACCTCGTTCGTGACTGCATAACCTCTTTCCCCTTTATTTTCTTTGGTTTCGCAGCCTTCCTTTCCCTTTAAAGCTTCCAGAATTATTGTTTCTGGTTAGGCCAGTGCTGCTTACTTTTAGGGCTTTACAGCTGACGCCTGTTAAGTAGGATGGGAGAGTCAGGTGTTGGTGCTTAATACACGTTGTTTGACTCTTGTTACTCACTTTTGATTGCTTAACTTTGAACTAACATAAGCTTAAGGATTTTTTAAGACCCCAGAATTTTATATTTTTACTAGCTTCATGGTTACCAAGAGGAACTAATGCATTTTCGCAAATCTAGCAAGTGGGTACGGTATTCCTATGGATAAACTGAAGCTTGGAACAGTTAAGAAACTTCCCAGGGTCGCAGAACTGGCTAGAATTGGACAGCTGGTCCAACTGACACCAGGGTTCTTAATCCCTTAAGCTGTTCCTTTTTTAGATCTGGTTAGATTTGTTAAATCGTTGTGCCTATTTAGATTTTTCAGAATTATTTGCTTTATTGGCTAAATGGTATACGTAGGATAAATATTTGTCTCATAAAAAAAGGAGGTTACTACTGGGCAATCTTTCTGAAGGTGGTAGAAAGAATTGTGGTTAATGGTGTACAAATTTGTTGCATTAAGCAATTATTGCGTCACTAAAATTGTCTGAAGTTGTACCCATCATGATTCTATTAAATCATAAAACCACACAGCTGGAACATTTGTTCTTTGTATTTATAGTGCACCCCTTTTTTTTTTTTAATGGAAGAAGAAAGACATGAGTGTGCATACTATACAAACACATAAAGTAACCCAAGCATATTTAAGTTCTGGGATTCATTATATATTGTGAGCATTGTTGTTTTCTGTTTTGATAGCAGATTTATGTCAGACAAGTTTCGTTACCTCACTTTCATGTTGGTTCATAATCCTCCAATTTTGAACTATGCGGTAGTAAACTTGCTTATTGAGGGTAGGATCCAGTTCTTAAGCTTCATATTTTAAAATAGCATTTGCTCATTGTTGATAATATACAAGGTACAATGTTAGGCACTTTATTTACATTACATAGTCTAATTATCACAATCCTAAGAAAACTGAGGCTCAGAGATTTAAAAAGCTTGCCATTAAGTGGTTAGTCCCCAACCCAAGTTTTATTCTTAACATTTAGCAAAGTGCCTGGTACTTTGTAGGTGGTCAATAAATGCTTGTTAAATGAATGAATCCATATTTAAAATAAGTAGCTGAGAAATGACTGCTTTAAAAGGATTTAGAGATAACTGTGTACCTGATGATACACATGATTTTTCTCAGCAACTTTCATATTACCAGCTTTTGCAGAATATGTAGTTTGTTCTTGTTCTAAGTTTATGTTATAAGCAGCAATTTGTTCAAAATGTGTGTAGTGAACATAGTAAAAAAAATCTCATTAGAGCTAAAAGGAAGAGTGAATAATTTTTTTATGAGAAGATAAAGGCCTCCACAACAGACTGGTTTATTAGCATTAAGTAATTCATCATTTATTGGTCACCTTACAGAATATTTGTTGTGTTCGGGATTGAATGTCTAGAACCTACTTCAGGAAATCTTCCATTTAGAATGAGAAACAACATTTGAAATTACTTTGTTTTGTTCAGGTTTCTGTATGTTTCTTCTTTGGTTTATAATTCAGGCTTTTTTCTTTCATGTAAATTTGAATTAGATTTTGCTGGATACAGGATTAGGCTATGATGTGAAACCAATCAATATTTACTAATAAAAATTGCTCTGATACGTTACAAAACTAAGTGTCCAGAATTTATATATACATATATATATATAATTTTGAGTATGTTTGTATTTTTTAAATACACATAGAGGACTATGTTATATATACTATTTTTCTACTTGCTTTTTATATTTTATTTCTTAGACACCTGTTTACACATTAATATAAAAGTCTACCTCATTCTTTTTAGTAGTTGTGCATTACTAGTCCCTTGTATGCATGCTAAGTAATCTACTTAGCTTTCGTACTTATCTATCAGATAAACTCTTAGAGAAGAATTTGCCAGATCAAATTAGTAGGTGCATTTATATTTTTTAAGATAATTTTTTACTTTGAAATAATTGCAAACTTAGAGTAACTGAAAGTACAAGCAACCTTTTTCCCCCTGAATCATTTAAGAGTAAGTTGCCAACCTGATGCCCATTACCCTTGAATATTTTAATATGCATTTCCTACATGTCATAATCACAGTACAAACTTCAAAATTGGAAATTAATACACTGATACATTACTATCATCCACAGATCTTTCTTAGGTTTTTCCATTTGTTTCAAAAATGTCTTGATTCAGAATCATGGATTACTACATTCAGTTGACATGTCTCTCTAGTCTTCTTCAGTCTAAAGCAGTTCTCAGTTTGTCTTTGATTTTCGTGATTTTGACATTTTTTAAGATTATAGGCTAGTTATTCTATAGAATGTACCTTAACTTTGATTTGTCTCATGTGTCCACATGATTAGATTTAGGTTCTACAGGTTGGCAGGAATATCATAGTGATGATGCTGTGTTCTTATTGCATCCTGTCAGGGAGAACATGATTTTAATTTGTTCCATTACTGATTATGTTCATTTTGATTGCTTTATTAAGGTAGTATCTGAGAGAGTTTCCCATTGTTAGATTACTCATTTTCCCTTCATAATTATCTGGTATTTTGTAAATACAGTATTCCACTCATCATCAAACGTTCAGTTTGTTTATTTGCTTATTTATATCAGTATAGACTGATGGATTCTCAGTCAGTGGGTTTCCTTTCAATTGCTGCTGCTGGAGGGTTGGGGGGGAGGGTGTTTAATCAATTGATACAGTGCCACAGCAGTTGAAAAGAAGGGGAATTACTTCCAGTTGTGTACAATGTGAGATAGCAATATTTGAATAGAGTTTTCAAAAGATAGAAATATAGGAAAGGGGTTTCCAAAAGAAAGACAAAGGAGTAGATGCTTAGAGGTGGAAAATCAATGTGTAAAATTTGGCTGTGAAATAGTGGTTGCAAAGCAGGTAGTTTGGGGCCTAATCATGGAAGTCTTTAAGGCAAATGACCAGTTTGGACTTTATCCTTAGGTAGGTGGGATGTGGATTTACAAAATTTTATGTTTGAGTTTTCCTTTAGAAAGATTAACCCAGCAGAATTAATTTGAAAGAATAGAAAGACAGAGTCAAGGAAGCTAATTAGCAAATTGTTGAAATAGCTTAGGTGAGGACTATGGGCCTGAAAAAGGTTATTATTAGGAAAGAAATGAGGAGAATGATGGAAGAATAACAAGGGATCTTTGACAACTAGTTTGATAATGGAGTGTTGAGAATAAGAAGAAATCAGAGGTTGTGATTTTGCACTTGGCATGTCTAATGTATGACAGATGGTGGAGTTCACATTGGATACCCTTGACTCAGTAGTATGGAGCATCAAAATAAGAGAATTGATGAGTATAGGGCATGAGGGATTGATAAAGGTAAGAGTAGTAATCCTTTGGAGAATTTTATAAGAGAGAATTAAAACCACTGATTAACAAAGAGAACCAAAGTCAACATGACTTTGTAGTGGAATGATTCTGCCAGATACATATTTTAAAAAATTATTGATGAAAAGAATTGGCTTTTCTTTTTTTAAAATGTAAGACAAATTATGAATGGTTATGTAAGTTATTTTGAACCTCTTTTCAGACTCCTGGCAACAAATAACTAAAAGCTCACCAGTAGTCTGGTACCAGTATCATTTACTTGCTGTAAGTTGTTGCTCTGAAGTTCCTTATTGACATTTTTGGTCTTTGTTGAAGAAAATATAGTAATATAATGGTGCTATGCTAGCTACTGATTTCGTAGCCACTGAATATAGACATTAGATCTCTAGGATATAGATATTTTTGTGTCACGATAACCTACAGAAAATGAAATTTTTTTTTTAAAGTTTTAACCCTTTGCGGTCATTTGTTTACCCTCAGCCACCAAAGCTTTTTTACCGTTCCGGTCATATGTCTGCTCTCAGCCACCACAGCAAGGAACCATACGAATCTTAACTCTATTCATTCATGTATCAGTTCATAATTTCTCTTGTTTATCCCTCATAATCTTGCATGTTATGTATCACTGCTCTTTCAATGGAAATTAATTCGGACCAGTACGACACCCATGTCCAAATTTAATACGATCGCAAAGGGTTAATCTGTTTTATACAGCTTAAGCCAAGAACACAAGTAAATTTATCTCAGAATGACTAGATTGTGTGTGGCTTCATTATCATATTCGTGAGCATAATGCTGTTTACAACTGTTGCTTTTCTCTTTTACACTCACCCATGATGGTGAGTATACAATTTAGAACTTTTTTGAACCTTCATCTATCTCTCTTATATTTTTCTTTGTATAACGTTCTGCATATACAGGCACATTTTTTATTTGAAGAAACTTTGCTGGAGATTAGTTTGTTTATATTCATAGTAGCTTTACTATTCAGGAAGGAGTGAGAATGTGATGCTCCTGAAAACCCGTATAGACCAGAACATTTGCTGCCCTATTTGGTATAAATTGAATTTCATCCTTACTTTTCTCCAAAGTGGTATCCTTCATACTTTTAGGAAATTTTGGAATGTATGTTTGAAGGGGCAGGGGAAGAGTAGGTAATTTTATAAACATTGAGAGAAAATTCTTTTTCAT